CTTTCTCGGGGACAGTGGCAGATCCAAGGGTGGCCTTCCAGGGCTACGGCCCAGCCCTCTTCTGCATTCGGAGTCAGTATAGTTCTTATAACTTTATCGATTTTAGCTATTCGGTCCAATGTTATTTTATAATAAAATTGTGTGTAATTGAGAAAATGGGTTAGATGAACATGTTCAAATCACAATTCCAAATTTAGCCTAGAAATTCTAGCTCCAATGATTCTCTTCTAAATAAAAACAAACAATGTAACCTAAAATTCTAAAACTCTAAAACGTAAAAGACTAAAGGGCAATGTCTATTTTTTATCCAAACCTATGAAAATGCTATTAATTATCCAAATCTTTCGTAATGCATCAAAATATTAGCCATTTCTACGTTATTGTTAATAATTTTGTAACTCTTTTCTTGGTTAAAATACTAAAATTTTGGAATGTTGACATTCATGTGTCTCTTCCAAGTCAGTATCATGTTGCCAAGTCATCATTACTAACAAAATTGTTAATTGGAAGTTAACATTTGACTAATTCTTAGTATTTCGATAGATTTGGATAATATAAAAGAATCTGAAAAAGGTTTGGATAAAAAATAGACATTACCCAAGACTAAAAGAACTATGAGGTTTGTTCTCTTGAAAAATTACTAAAGCATCTCATGGAAAGAGGGATGAACACACAATACAAATGATTAGTCGATTGATTTGTCTAGCGATGACATTGCCCGTGTCAACAACTACTAGGGAGAAAACCTTTTCAGCAATGGAACAGGTGAAATATGATTTGTGCAACAAAATGAGCGATGAATTTCTCGCTGCAGATTGGTTAACTTTTTTTATTCGAAGGAGAATAGTATGCTATTGGTATGCCGTATGGGTGTAGACTCCACTACTGATGAATTTGTTATATTAAAAGATCGACATGTACAATTGATATTGTAAAAAAAATGATATTTTTTTTACAATATCTAATTTTCTAATAAAATGCGACCCGGTGCTCTACTATGTCCTGGATCCGTCGCTGCTCGGGTGGGTGTCCTTGCACTCGACTGAAATCTGAAATGAACCTCATCATCTCTCTCGCCCCATATATATGGGTTGTTTGTTGTTGAAAGTGATTCCCTTTTAAATAAACTTACAAAGGGTGACAATCTTCTAAATCTAAAATCTAAAAAATAAGATAAGCAAATTCCCAGCAGTTCAGGGATTCAAATTTCCCTTTCGTCTAGCCTTCCACGTCATCACGTACACTTTCTTCCCCATACCCATCGAAATACCATTACCACCCACCTTCCTTTTGTTTCCAACTCCTACGAAGCCCCTTCACCCTTCCTTCCCAGACATACGTTGTCTCCCCTTTTACCAAATTTCATGTTCGTAAAAACAAATGACTTCAGTTTTGTGCTTCAATAAGATGTAAATGTTTTCCTAAACTACTGCTACAATGAATAAATAAGGTTTTGCTCTTTAACAGGAGATATTGAAAGATCGTCAAAACTCAAACCACGACCATGAATGTCAAACTGGATCGACAAGGTTTAGAGGAAATCATCATCATCAAATTTAGTTTAATGTTAATGTTTGTTTAGACTTTAGTTTGAGTTAATGTTTATCTTTGTAGTCTCCAAATGCTAGCTTGCACGTGTTGTCTTGTAGTGCAAATCTTTTGCCTATTTAAACCCAAGTATGAATGAGAAACACAAAAGGCTTCCAGGGTTTTATTTACTCCAACTCAACTTTGTTGTTATGGTATCAGAGCCTCTAGATCCTTTAAAACCCTAAAAACCTTTTACCCACAAAAATAAGGACCATGTCCAAGATCTGAAAATTTCAGATCATAAACCCTAAAAATCAAAAATATTTCTTCTCCTCCTCCGTTACATCTCTTCCCCAAATCTCATTCCAAACCCTACATTCAATCCATCTCCATTGCATCTGTTCCCTACCAAAAGCCCCAAATCCCCACTTCCGCCACAAAACCATCTCCCATCTTCCAAACACAGCCTTTACCCACTAACCCAGCAGGCCATTCCGCCGCCACAGTCATCACTGAATCCATTCCTTTCAGTCTTCCAGACAATCGCAGTCCGTTAAGGCTGCCACCGCAGCTGAAGCAGAACCACCATCACCTCTCACCACACGAACCCTACGTTTCGTTCTTTCGATTTCTCTCCCAAATCTATTCCGCTTCGCTCATCTCACTCTCCGTGAGGAAACCCCAACTCAACCAAATCCCTTCCATCCTCCGCCGCAAATCAGTACCACCATTCCCTTGCCAGGAAGAAGATAGAAGAAAGTGAAGTTGAACTGAAGCCAATCTCGTTGGAGGCTAGCATCAAATGATTGAGTTGATTGATAGTGTTGCTGCAAACTCTCAAGTGGTTGAATATTCTGAAGTTGCGATTCTGGTTGATGGAAGGAGTGAAGTTGTTACTGCTGCAGATGATCTTGTGCTGGTTTAAACTCAAACTTTAACCGGTTTGAGTTTAGGGGAGGATATGTTGGATCAAGAAGTTGGGTCGAGAAGATAACTTTGGGTTGGGCTTTATGTCATATGAAGTTGAATCTATAGAAAGCCTAGTTAGAAGTTAGAAGGACGTGAGCTAGCTGTTATGTAGTTGCTAGTTTTAAGGCCTACGGTTGTTAGCAGTTCCTTGTTTTGTGTTTGATGGGCTGAGTGGTAGCTTGTTTTTAGCTTGCAACAGTTGAGTTTGATGTATTTAAACGTTTCTTTGTTACGTGAATAAATGAATCCAGTTTTCCCTTCTATCGAGTGTAACATAGTGGTATCAGAGCCTTATAGGTTAACACCGAAGTGATCCAGGTTTGGGAGGCGGTGGCCACCACGGCCACGGCCACCGCCACCTATTGGTAAATAAGATGTTGAGCGTGAAGGGCCTGGAGAGGGAGGTGGTAGTAGGTGAGCAAGAAATTGGAATTGAGAAAGTGAACGTAGGATTGGTGAACCAGAAGTAGAGAGATGCAAACCATGGCCGACAGAGATGGTGGCGAGAGAGGCAGCTGTGGATTCGGGGGACGAGGAAGCGATGGAGGAAGGGATCGTCGGTGGTCGCCACTAGGAGGAGGAGAAGTGGGCTATCGTTACCAGCGGCAATTTTCGTAATCGACATTGACTGGGACTTGATGACACCATTGGTGGATGGAAAAGCGTAGGTATTGTGTCCCTGACCATCGATGAACAGAACCGCCTCGTTGCTTTCCTCCTTGGCAGGCGAGCATAGAAAGGAAGAGACAAGAAGCAGAGCAACAAGAACGCGAGATCATCGACTCCCTTGTTGGTCCCAGCGTTCTGAAGGACGAGGTCATGAAGATTAGTCCCGTCCAGAACCAGACTCGCACGGACAGCGCACCTGATTCAAGGTCTTCGTTGTCGTCAGCCACGGAAACAGCCACATCGGATTGAGTGTCAAGTGTACCAAAGAAGTAGCCACTGCAATTCACAACGCCATCATTCCTGGCAAAGCTATTCGTGATTCTGGTAAGGAGAGATTACCGGTGGAACAAAATTGGGCTGCACCATAAGATGTCGTGCAAGGTCACCGGGAAATCTCTCTCACAGTCCGGATGGTGCCTGATTCGCCTGGTGCTGGGATTGTCCCAGCTCGCCAGTGGTAGAAAGAAGAAGAAGATGAGGATTGAAGTGAGCGATCAGAAATGGCGTCTCAATCGATGCAATCATCTATGTCGGAGGACAGAGTTTTATTCAGTGGAGACTGAATTCGATCTGATGAGATTGATGATGCGTAACAATTAAGCTGCATAGAAGAACATTGATGCTGAGGCAGCTAGTAACTCTAAAGACAAGCTTCCCGTCAGTAAATAGAGGTAAAGGGAAAGGAGCAAGGTGAAGAAAGTGTTTGATTGTGAGGTTCAAGTTGGTGCCTCTTTCAGTTACGTCTCCATTGATTGGTGGGGTACCAGAAAGAAATATCAGGTTCTTGTTTACTTAATTATTTTTTGTTGAATATTCTGGTGGTGGTTGGAATTTGTTGTGGAAGTGTTTGGGTTACAATTGTTGATTCCAGGAGGATTGGTAGGGAGATAGTGAAGGAAGGTTTTGTTGATGCAGTGAACTGAAGCTTGTTTCAGTAGGCTTCAGTTCAGGGGAGGATGAATTGACGGATGGCAGGAATCAACTGTGAAGTTTATGTTCTGGGATTTGGAGTTTAGAGGCACATTTCTAGCTGAAACGAGCAAGATTTATCAGATGGAATAGAAGAGGCTAGTTTCTCTAGATGGTGTCCTAGCTCATGGAATGGTAGTGGCATAAATGAATGATCAAGTGACTGTGGAGTAAGCTGCGACCAAGCTGTGAATGGAAACTTACTGATAAAGACTTACAAACTAAGAGGCTGTTGTAACAATGTGAAGGAGAAGCCTGGATGAGCAGCTGTGTCACTGAAAAACAAGCCAAAGAAGAACAAATTTAAGTTGCTAGTGGTGACTGGTGACAGAGACGTTGCTGACTTCTCCAACATTGTATCATTATCAAAAGAAGAACAAGAAGAGGGGAATGGTGGAAAGGAATGATCAAGTGACCAGGGGAGCAGCTGTAGAGAAGGTGCAGAAGTTTATGCATGAATCAGAAAAAAGAGAAGGGAGAGCTAAACAAAGCCAGGGATGGACAGTTGGGCAGTGCTTAATTCTGCAGCAGCAGCTAACAAAGGAAGAATGAGATGATGAGTTCACAAGGTAGTCAACCAAGGAAGCAATGAGAGAATGGGCAGCAGCTTTACAGAATGGTTAGTATGTTTCTTTATATCCTGTCAAAGTATATTATGAAGACTGTGAGTGTGATTGTAGCATTAGTTCAACAATAGACTTTCAGAGAAGTAGATGGCGAAGAATGATGTTGGATTAAGGGAATCCATGGTTGTGCAAGGATGCTCGGGGAACTGTTAAAGGAAATGTCAGCTGGACATACCTACGAGTGAGGTAGGTGGTGTGACCTGTGAGTGAAGCAGGTTGGGTTTTAATGTCAGCTAGACATACCTACGAGTGAAGTAGGTGGTGTAACCTGTGAGTGAAGCGGGTTGAGTGTCAATGTCAGCTAGACATACCTACGAGTGAAGTAGGTGGTTTAACCTGTGAGTAAAGCAGGTTTGGTTTCAATGTCATTCGACGAGTAGGCAGCAGAGTGGCTGATCTTATTCGGTGGCGAATGGCTGGATTAGAAGTACTCGGTTGCTATGTCATGCTACAAGTAACAATTTGAGCGCGTGCAAATAGCAGTTCTCGCTTGTTGGCAGATGACATAGAAGGAGAGATCTGCGAGGACAGGTCTAGAGAGTACAGTGAAGAAACCGGAAATGAAACAGTTGAGCATGCCTTGCCAGGAAGAAGATAGAAGAAAGTGAAGTTGAACTGAAGCCAATCTCGTTGGAGGCTAGCATCAAATGATTGAGTTGATTGATAGTGTTGCTGCAAACTCTCAAGTGGTTGAATATTCTGAAGTTGCGATTCTGGTTGATGGAAGGAGTGAAGTTGTTACTGCTGCAGATGATCTTGTGCTGGTTTAAACTCAAACTTTAACCGGTTTGAGTTTAGGGGAGGATATGTTGGATCAAGAAGTTGGGTCGAGAAGATAACTTTGGGTTGGGCTTTATGTCATATGAAGTTGAATCTATAGAAAGCCTAGTTAGAAGTTAGAAGGACGTGAGCTAGCTGTTATGTAGTTGCTAGTTTTAAGGCCTACGGTTGTTAGCAGTTCCTTGTTTTGTGTTTGATGGGCTGAGTGGTAGCTTGTTTTTAGCTTGCAACAGTTGAGTTTGATGTATTTAAACGTTTCTTTGTTACGTGAATAAATGAATCCAGTTTTCCCTTCTATCGAGTGTAACACATTCCACCTTTTCTTCCCAAAAAATCCCAGATCCAAAACCCATTCATCCTCATCTCGCCGAGAAACCATTCTTCCTTTGTCACAAATCCCCTCCTTCCGAAAACCCAGATCGACAACCGGCACATTCGACTTCATCATCGGAGTGTGAGAATCATCCAGTTCCTCATTCGTAGCCGCCCTCGAGCACCGGAAGAAGAAGACGACGAAGCTGCTAGAGACCAGAGAAATCCCTAAATCAGATCTCCCAACTAGAGACATCGAGACCAGAGAAATCTCCTCCGTCATCGACGATCTTCTCCTGCTTTGATGTGTACGGCAAATTTCTCAACTCGCGCAACAGAGGCGAGGACCACACGACGGAGAGAAGACCTAGAGGCAAAAATCGTATTGAAGCGACGAAGAAACCGACTGTGAAAAAGCCACAGAAGATCAAACCGGTCAAGGACGACAGTGTTGAAGTTTTTCACAGAGCTCCACAACCAAAAACAGAGGAATCGGGTGCTGCTCTGTTCAGAGGCAAGTCCAGGTCTCCATCTCCAGCAAACAACAGCATTGACAGAAGTCGTCTCCGTTTTAAGCTTAAGGATCGAGAATTTCTTCGGAAGGAAGGTAACAATCTTGAACCCAAAGTTGCAATTGATCGATTGAATGACCAGCAGAAAGATGCCGAGAATGAAGTGGTTGGGCTTGAACATGTTAGAGATTCTGTTTGGATGAAGTTAATTAGTGTGAATGAAATGGAAGCTTTGAAGGTTGTTTTTAGCACAATTTGAATGTGAATGTGATTGAAGTTGAGAAGATGGATGATCTCTCCAAGGCAAGGGAGTCCTATTTCCCTTGCAAGTTCTGAGTTCATTAAAAAAAACAAGGAATAAAGAAGACAGGCGCTGCAAGATCAGTGGCAGCACACAACAAACAAAAAAAAGAGAAGAGAAGAGAAGCAGAAGCAGAAGTTGAGAAAAGAAGTAGAATGGAAAGAAAGGCAGCAGTCACAGAATTATGCAGCAGAGGGAAGAAGCTTACTCCCCTGTTGAGTTTGGAATTCTTTTTTTTTTTTTTTTTTAATGCTAGCTAGCTCAAAATCAGCAGCAGCATATCATCATCAAGTCGAAGCAGTGGGAAGTAGCCAACCGAGCACTCCCCTGCTGATTTCATATTGTTTTTCGGATGGAATGCTAGCTAGCAAAATCAGCAGCAGCATATCCGGCCCATATTTCAGATGGAATGTTAGCTAGCAAAATCAGCAGTAACATATCCGGACCACTTTGAAGATCCATCTAAAGCAGAAAAGCTGAAGATGAGAAAGTTGAGCCAGCTAGCCATGATGCGGCGGCGTTTTCGATTGAAGGAATGCTAGCTAGCCAAGAAAAAGCAGCAGCATATCCTAACTTATTTGGAGAAACTGAAGCTATGTAGCTGAAGTTGGGGGTTGAGTAGTTGATGAAGAAGAAAGGAGTGTTAGCCAGCCATGAAAAAGTAGCAGCATATCCGACTTAATTTGGAGAAACTCAAGCTACAAAGCTGAGTTGGGGGTTGAGAAGTTGAAGAAGAAGAAGAAGAGAAGATGAAGATGAAGATGGGATACTAACTAGCCAAAGATGCAGTGGTATCACCAGTTGTAGAGGAAGATTTCAGCTAGCTAGCCACAGATGCAGCAGCTTTTCAGAAGATGTTTGGGAAGTTAGCTAGCAAGATGCAGCAGCTTCACCATTTGAAGATTGAAGGGAAGTTAGCTAGCCAACAGTGCAGCAACATTCTCAAGTCAAAACTGTATTCTCTCCAAGCTTGGTGTGCACATTCTGTGCTCACCCGCTTGCGGGGGGTAACAGGAGATATTGAAAGATCGTCAAAACTCAAACCACGACCATGAATGTCAAACTGGATCGACAAGGTTTAGAGGAAATCATCATCATCAAATTTAGTTTAATGTCAATGTTTGTTTAGACTTTAGTTTGAGTTAATGTTTATCTTTGTAGTCTCCAAATGCTAGCTTGCACGTGTTGTCTTGTAGTGCAAATCTTTTGCCTATTTAAACCCAAGTATGAATGAGAAACACAAAAGGCTTCTAGGGTTTTATTTCCTCCAACTCAACTTTGTTGTTACTCTTCATGCTGATATTATAGCACAAATCCTCTGATACAAGATCCGTATAAGACCTGCAAAGCTTATTCTATACCTATAATGTAGCTAAACAGGAGTAAGAGAAAAGAGCAAGCAACATGTTCGTAATAAAAATATAAAAGGGAGACGTTCTTAGCACTGGCGGAGCCAGGAATCTGAATGAACGGGGCTAAAAAAAATTACGTTCATAGGTTTGAATCGGAGAGGAGGGGCTAAAATCTTACCACCTATTCTATTATACAAATTTGTTGTGAAATTTTCACAACTTTGAGAGTTGAGGGGGACTATAGGCCCTCCTGTTAAAAACGTGACTCTGCCACTGGTTCTAAGGCATAAGGGTGATTATTAAACAAAAAACGAAAACAAAACATCGCTTCAATACAAACACACACACCAAACAAACATGCAATAATAATTCATAAATCATAAGCAATACAGCCCAGACCCGGCCAAAGGCCTGGCACAAAGCTAGTAATTAAGAAAGAAGAAAAAAGGAAAAAAAAATACAGCAAATTTAAGCCGAATTAATAGAGAACGTAGACACCTCCGAAAGCTTGGCTGGGCGACCGCGGTGACCGGAAAGCAGCATTGACAAATTCCAAACTGCCAGCCGGTCGTCGCCCTAGCTAACAAGGCTAGTCGCGGTACATGAAAGCAAGCTTGTATTCACGACCCACGTAAACCAGGAAGAAACTTGTACCTGCCATTAAATGATTGTCCCACGAATAGGGAAGTCGGATAGGGTAAGTATTCTCCGGGAAAACAGAACATCGAAAATTGCCGTCGTAATAAGCCATCATCGTCAAGCTACTGCCATCACTCAGGTGAGTCGTCTTCATAAACCACCAGTTGTCTTGGTCGAATGAGCCAGAAGAACTGTACACATTCATTTTTGGGGGAGGCGGCCAATCTTTGGGATCTTCATCCACTGCACTAATGGAACTGTTAAACAAGAACGGCACGCTTCCCTTCTGATATGGCTTGTAGTTGAAATTACTCGATTTGCGTTCATCGATGCAGAAAGTATCACGTGGCACCGGTCGTCTTCTCCTTATTATATCGTCACTGCATAAAAAAAGGGGCACAAATTTAGTTGTAGTTGTCCTCGCCCATGATTGCTTGCTACGTTGCTCCGGCTCGCGAGGAACTTGTAACAGTTGGTCTTTCAGCTTTCGCATTTCAGCTGCATTCTCTTTCATCATTTCTTCCTTCTCGCTCCTTAGCTTCTGAGACTCGGCGGTCTTCTCATTCACAAGCTTCTGCAATGCTTCGTTGTCATTCCCCACTTTTTCTAGCCTTCTTTTCATCTCTTCGTCCTTCTTTGTTACCTCTTGCCTCATTTCCACCGCATCCTTCTTCAACTTCTGCCATTCATCACTGTCTACCGTTATCTTTCCCTTCTCGCCTACTGCTGCTTCATCTTCCTTCTTATTAGCTCTTTTCATATTCTTCACCTCCTCCCTCAGTTTTTTCAGTTCCTCGTCCTTCACTTTGCTTAGCTTTGCTTCGTCGTCCTTTTCTTTTCTCAACGCCTCTAACTCCTCGTCTTTCTCCTCCAACTCCCCGTCCTTCTCCCTCTTCAGCGTTTCTAGCTCGCCATCTTTTTGCTTCGATAGCTTTCGCAGCTCCTTGCCATTTTTCTTCTCCAACTCGCGTAGCTCTACCCCGTGTTTCCCCCTCTCTTCTTTTAGCTTTTCCATCTCCCAATCTTGTTCTTCCATCTCCTCCCTCATCTTTCCGATCTTTTCATCCCTTTCTTCGATCATTCTTTTCAACTCCTCGTACTTCTTCTTGCTCACAGCAGCTCCTCCAGCCGTCGGTCGCTTCTTCTCCCCTTTTGGTACGGAGTACTGCAACACCAGGCGTCCCCATGTGGTGATGCCCGCTATTTTGATACCGTGATATGGCCAGTTGAAAAGATCGTTCAGCCGGAGGTAGTGAAACCCAAAATCTTTGTGCTCGCCTAGCCCGGTAACATCCTGGAAACATAACCCTTGAGGGCTCACCCTCAATTGCAGCCGGGTGAGGTGTTGGGCTAGCTTGGTCAACGCCTCCCTTCCCTCGATCTTCCCGTGACCATCGAAGAACATCAGCCCGTCGTAGGATTCCTCCTCCTCATCTGCTGATGCATCGTCATCGTTGCCTTGGTCCTCGATGTCGCTTTGATCGTGATCATTGGCGGTGATGGTGGCGACTTCCTTCCAGTGATTCTTTCCGATGGAGGAAGGATTAACAGGAGTAGGGTTGGTCAACTCGTAGACTTTGAGGGTCGTTTTGTCCGAGGAAGCAACGAAGTGCTTGTCGGATTTGAAATCAAAGAGAACCATGCTATCCTAATTTGGTAACTAGGAGGGGGAGTTGTGGCCGGCGGGAATACTTTTTGCTCCGATCCAGCAGATGATCTTGATCGGAGATTGGGATGGAATTGCAGAATTTGAATGGTGGCGATCATGTTATATATAATAATTATGTCTTGATGTGTGGGTGGAATTGGATACCGCTAATTGCCTTAATTAAAATTTAAATAGCATATAATAGTGCATCTATTTCATTAATTAGGAATTGACATTTCTTAGAAAGGATGAGTTAGGGATTAACGATTAAGGATTGACTCTTAGAGTCTTATATAAAGATATGTCTTAGCTTCTTCATCCATATTTTCTTTTAAAAAATAACCTATCGCTTAATTAAAAGAAAAAAAGAATGACTTTGTCCAATAAATTATAAAATGTAGTCTTTTATTATTATTATTATTATTTTTGTAAACTTTTACATTAAAATTTTTTTATTTGGTAGACTTGGCACCATGTAGTCTTTTCTTAATCAATTCATAATCGATTGAAATACTTTCCCATTCTTAAAGAAATAGGTCGATGACCGAAGAACACACTACAAAGACATATTAGAAGTGGTTTAATTAGTTGTAGTAGGTAGGAGAGGAACTCATCTATTATGCTTCAAAATATTGGTATTTTACGATATAAATTGAATTTGTACGAAAATAAATAGATAAACCGAGCTGAATCAAGCACTCTGAAGAGAACCTAAATGGGTATGGAACTCATCTAGATCGTCCGTCACCGTTTACCCCGTTAGAAATCCTTGGCTTCTGCTGACTGTATTTGGTGAGGAAGATTGAGAATCCAAATTGTACAGAATATGAGGAGAGGCCAAATTCTCGACTGGAAAAATGAAACGATCATCTCTGTCTTTGGAATCTTTTCATTACCCAGAAGCTGGAATCATTGACCTAAAATTATAAGGAAATTGCTGTAGCCAGAATTAGAACAGAGAAATGAGTGACAGCTTCATGAGCCATGAGTTATGAGTCATGCCCTTCGTATGAGTTGACCTTATCCCAATCTTTTTTCTTTTCTCTTAGCTCATATTTTAGAGATAATTACAATTTGAGTCAAATGTAAGAATGTCACAATCTTCGCACCATAGTATTGCCACCATACCACATCCTGCCACCATGATACTACATCACACCAACATAGACCACCATTATACCAGCAGTGTATAAGCCGGAAATTTGAATGAGGGGAGTTAAAAAACCTACACTTGAGGAATTTGAACCATGGTCGTCGAGAAATGGGGCTAGATCCACTTATCAAACTGTTTTTTTCAATTTTGTTACAAATTTTACATGTAAATTTACCTATATTTGAAAGTTGAGGGGAATATAGCCCCTCCTTAATACAACATGGCTCCGCCATTGTGTACCAGTATAGTAACAGATGGTTCATGACGTATAAATTTTCTATTCTAAATTCTCTCAAAATGGATGACATCTTGTACAGCACAATTAGTATGATTTTTTGGACAAAATTTTTTAAATCAAAGTTGAAACGAATGAGAAATAGTTCGTTGAAATTTTGATAGTCTTTAACTACAGCCCTTGGGATTTGTGTCATTTGTCATTTAAGAATTAAGAGTTATACAATTTGCGTATATATAAAGTTTAGGACTTTGTTATGGTGACTTGCAAGTCACCGTGATTTGGACAAGACGGTCGACCTATTTGCACAGTACGGTCGACCTGTTCACTTATATGGTTGACCTATTTGGACAAAATGATCGACCTCTTCACTGATATGGTCAACCTATTTGGACAAAACGACCGACCTCTTCACTGATATGGTCGACCTCATTGTTGGAATGGTCGACCAGATGTACTATTTTCCATTTTGCTATGTTCAACAAACGGTCAACCTCTTCCACTCAAAAAGTCGTCCACTATACCAAAAAAATGGTCTACCACTTCCAACAAGTGGTCTACCTCTTTCTCCAAGCGGTCCACCTATTTCAATAATTGGTCCACCTGATGAACCATTGCTAGCGACATCATCATATATAATTAGAGTCCAATAACAATAGATATGTTTGTAATAAGATATTTAAAATTAGTACAAAGGCAGCAAGCATAGATGACAAGTTTCTCGAGTGATTGTTCTCCTATAGATTTGAAAAATGTTTCACATATTTATTTCTTATATTTGACTTAATTTATTGAGAATTTCATCTTTCCTTCAAATTCTAAGTTTTCTTGTTTCTATCCTATAGATGTCTTGTGATGGATCAACTTTGTTATTATTGTTGCATGAAGATGCTCAAAAGTCAAAAAGTAGAGTATATTTGTTATACAATCGTGTCATCTTCAACGTCCATAAATCTCATATCATCACTTTTGTGGACTTTTATTCTAGAAGAGTTAAAAGAGGGTGTTTCTTTTTGTCTTGGTCTATAATATGTGTAGGGATTTGGTTGCTACAGGTGATAGGATGTTGCGTCACTACCAAACAATTTTATATTTTGTTGTCTCCTATTGTCCATTATTTTCCTAATGTAAGTATAAAGTAACTGTGTCATCTGGTCGATCATTCACCGAAAGCGGAGATCGTTAGTCGAAAAAGGTACGTAAACCATTTTGCAGAACCGGTAGGCAGTTATAAGTTGAAGGTAAGTGTGTCACAGGCCGGCCCATTGCAAGAAGCGGTAGACCGGTTTCCTCAAGTGGTAGACTGTTTGGTGGAAGTAGTAAACCATTTTCTTGAAAAGTGGCCGACCACTTGGTGGAAGAGGTCGAGCACTTGAAGATAATTGTGCCATCAGGCCGACCCATTTCCGGAAGCGGTAGACCGGTTGACTCAAGTGGTCGACTACTTGGTGGAAGAGGCGGCCATTTTCTTGGAAAGTGGTCGACTACTTGGTGGAAGAGGTCGACCACTTGAAGGTAAGTGTGTCATCAAGTCGGCCCATTTCCGAAAGTGGTAGACCGGATCACTCAAGTGGTAGACCACTTGGTAGAATAGGTCGATTATTTTCTTGGAAAGTGGTCGACCACTTGGTAGAATAGGTCGATTATTTTCTTGGAAAGTGGTCGACCACTTAATGGAAGAGGTCGACCGTTTTCTTGGAAAGTGGTCGACCACTTAATGGAAGATATCGACCGTTTTCTCCAAGTTACGGTAACTTGCAAGTCACCATAGGCATACCCTAAAGTTTACGCACCATAACTACAACCGCCGAAAAATCGTTTCTCATTGGCAACAACCATGAAAGATTAGGTAACAACTAATACAAACATAAATTATAGAAATAAATGATCACAACATACTCTATTCTAATTTTAAGAAGGATTTTTTGCAGTGTTATTAAACCCGAGCCGCTCGGCCCGACTGGTAAAACCGCCACTCATTCACAAAACCGGCTCGAAACAATCTAAAAGCCCTCCGGTTTTATGTAGCGGTTGGCGAGCGGCCGAGGCGGTTAACCGTTCGAGCCGATCGAGCCGCTCGTCCGGTTTTGGCCATTCAGTCACTAAATTTAATTAAAAAAATTGCAGAAAATTGAAATAAACCAAAAACGTCGGGCTCTCAAACTGAATCCTTATTTCCATTTCACAATTTCGAAGGAAAGAGATGAGCTCTGATTAAGAAATGTCCATTATTTATACTGATAATGTTTATTAGGTACCGGTTCTCTAACTGTTTTTAAACGGTCTAATGCCGGTTGGACCACTAAAGTGCGAGCCGTTCGCATTACCGGGTCATACTCCGGTTCGGTTCTGACAACATTGATTTTTTTACATTATTTCATAAAGAAACAAGTAGGTAAAGAAAATTTTATTTTACCAACCTCTTTAAATAATTTTATTTTTTGGACAAGATTTTTTAAATCAAAGTTGAAATGAATAAGAAATAGTTCGTTGAAATTTTGATTAAGTTTTTAATAACAACTCTGGGAATTTGTATCATTTGTCATGTAAGACTTATATAATTTTCATATATAAAGGTTATGCACCAGAACTCCAACCATCGAGTAAAGTAACTTGTATATATAGCAGAGGACACTTAGATGTGTCCCTCGTATGGTACTTCACTCGCATGTACATAGCACTTTTCCTACATTGAGCAATCAAACACAAAATTCACCAGAGTTTGCAATCACTCTACACACAATACACTTTAAGAAGTAGAATCATCAACACACAAGTAGCCAACTTGACTGTATAGCCACGAAAGGCGTTCTGGTTAATTGGTTTGAGTTGAGAAGACAGCACAAACAAACAAGAGCCCACTCTTCCACAGTATGTAGAAATATCATTCAGCAGTATACAAACTTCATCAAACCAGTGATACAATAGATGTTTTCATTGTTCTGATATCACTGCACAATCAACTGGCTGCTGCGGGAGTCGAATGTCATCACTACCTTGAGTTTCACTATAAGGTCTGATGAAGGCTCTCCTCCACCAAACCTCAAATGCCCTCTGCAGATTCGGGCAGTTATCACCAGCCTTCAAGAAACTTCCCAACCAAGCAAGCAAAATGCTCTGCTGATTCTCCAAAGGAAGCGTGAGTATCGTCCTCCCAATCCCTTCTTCGACAACTTTCCTATCGAAAGATCTGCAGCCGTGAGTCAACCAGCTGTAGTCATTGATCAATGGCTGCAACCATGTCTCCAACAAGGACTGACGAGTGTCCTTAGATGGCAAAAGCTCCCCTTTTCCAATTCCAACAAACAGCCTTCCAGTGATGCAGCTAACATGGTACCGAGTCGATACTGTGAGGCTTGCATGCAAAGCTGCTAACTCCACTTGTCCTGCCCACATTACAGCAAACCGATCTGCCGCCTGTCTGTCAGCTAGAATGTCGAGCAGCCACGAGAGGTTGTCGGATTCAAAAGCTATTTGCTTCAAAACAGGTTCCTTGTTCTCCATAGGCTTGTCAGTGAACTCAGGCTCGGAAGCTTGGTTGAACAAAGATAGCAGTGAGTTCAAACAACTTGCGCACGAGGTGTAAAGAGTTTCGTTGCATACATCTGTGGCAGCTGCATAGCTTGGGAGGTTGCTGTTGTTGTTGTTCTCTCGAAGAAGCTTCAGGACAACAGATTTCATCTCACGACGCCCTCTCTCCTCGTTGCTTTTGAGAACGAGTTCTACTATGCGGGGCAGTGTGTCTTTAGGTGGTGCAGAAGCGTGGGATGAGACTCGCTTTAGTATTGGCGATACTTCGAAACCCTCGTTCTGGAGTCGAAGAACTGTGGAGACCACTTTTTCTTCTTCCTCTTCCCCAACCCATGGGACAGCTTCTAGATATTCCAAGCATGATTGTATGCATGAGCTGAAGCCGAGAAGTTCAGCAGCCTGCAGAATCCTAGCCAAATTAGAGACAGATGCTCGAGAAGACAAAAACATTTACGATTCTCATTTAATGCATATCAAATCACCATCATAAATAAGAGGAATGTTCACCAAATGCATTCAAGCATCACATATAGCTCATGACAGTTAGTCTATTACCACAATCAGAAAGAACATTCCATTAGTTACCCTTGCAAAACTGTCCCCAGTATACTATGAAGGAACTGAAAAACAGGACACGTCAAAGTAGATCATTTAAAGTCTAAACTATCCAACTCTCCAGTCAAACCAAATCAGAGCATACCTTACCCTATATGGCTATAACCAAGATAGAGCAAACATACATATTACCTATATGACCTTATGAGAAAAGACTGGATCAATTTCAAGAAGGTTATCCCTAATATCAATCAACAACCAAGATGCATTCTACAGCAGTAAGGAACTTGACATTTTACCTTGAGTATTCGAAGCACGCGAGTCAGACTCTGCTTGATCAATCGTTGCTTCATCTCTTTGCAATACATAAGTCCCACAGTTTCAACATATATCTCAATGTCCTCACAATCATTAACCTCCAGATATGATAAGTTAGAGTCGCCATAGGAAAGCTTCTCAGCAAAGAAGCTGCTATTCTCAACCAGAACATTCCTGTGGGCAGTTAACTTCACACAAAAACTTTGCTTTCCGAGCAAGATCACCTTCAAGTCGCTGGTTCCAGGATCTCCAAACTCAATAGCCACCTTCCTAGGGGCATTCTCAACTTTAGTCCTCGGCCCTCTATCACTGCCAGCTGAACCACTAACTGCAGGTACATCAGCCCCACAACTTCTTTGATGATCATCAGAAGCAACTGCAGCTCTTGGGGGGTTTGGTGGCTGTGACCTTCTCTCATTGTTATGTGAAGATTGCTTCTTTGGGATGGTTGTCTTTGGAGGGGGTGAAGAGGGTTTGGTTTTGTTTAATGGGTTTTGATGTTTTGTGGCTTTCTGAAACCCTACAGGGGAAGGACAGCACCAAAACCCTTCTGGGGTTACAGCAATTGGAACATTTCTAATTTTGGTGTGCCCTGGCTCTACCTTTGTAAGTTTAACTTCAGCCATTTCTAAAGAAGAATTTCACCTCATTTACACCAAATCAACTACAAGAAGCATAAAACACTATCTAAAACTTCAGAAACCTAACAAACCAGCAGCCAACAGTTTAACAAATTCCTACAACTGCAACCATGAAAGTGAAACAGAAGAAACAGAAGCTTTATATTCCCAGCAGTGAATCTCAATTCAGAGAAACCATGGAAACAACTGCAGAGCTTCTTCCTCCGCCTCCTTTCATCTCCAATCAATCAAGAAACCAGATCAACCGCCCAATGGTCCACCAAAGAACATAAAGTTCGAAGCTTTCAGACCCCAAGAAGCTAAAAACTCACCAAAGAGAAGTAATTTGAGGAATTCTTAGAAATCCCATCTCCCGTCTGATGGTTATGAAGTCTCCAGGAGTGGCTAGAATGATTGAAATAGCTCTGGTGTCAAGCATCAAGGGAACCAGTGAACAATGAGTTGCAGGGAGGGAATAATGAGTGGAGGGTGGTGTTGTGTGCCCTCTTCCCTTTTCCTTTTCCCCCTTCTCTCTATCTCTCTCTCTCTTTTCACAACTGTTTTATTAAAGTGGAAAAGGGCAAAAGCCAAACAATCAAGCAAAGAAATGGAGTAGTGGTGGATGGGGTCAGGACTCAGGAGGTGTTTTGCTTCTGTGTCTATTGTATGCTTTTGATCATTGTTTGAGCTGTGGGTCCTGAGAGAGGAATTTGCTTGCTTTTGATTTCTCCATCTCCTCCACCATTCATCATCTCGATTTCTCAGTCTTCTTCCTCCCTTCTCTTTACATTTTCTATTTTGTATTATTTTCAACTCTTGTTCTTGTTGCTTGAAGAAGTCATACTTTCTGAGTTCAATTTAATTATTATTTCCCTTTTGTTTTCTTTATGTTCTGTCATCTGTGGCTTTCTTTGGGTTTGGATTTTCTAGGCTGGAAGTGGGTCTGTGACTCTGTGACTATCACTGTCATGTTCATGATACCCTGTGTGATGAAATGACTAAACAGCCCTTCTTCTTTGTCCCAATTCTGCTATTCTGGATGCTAGTTGACTGGGGGTAACCAGTGTAATAACCAATCTGCAAACTTATGATCATGTCTAGAAAAAAACCCTATTAAGTCTTCTATTAGAAAAATGAAATACCCTTGGAAGAATCAATTAAAGAACTAATAGCTTTATTCTGCTAATGATTCCAATCTGGCTGACCAATTTGTTGGCTATGCATGTGGGAAAAGAAAAGCAATTTATATATATCAAAAGAGAATTTAGGAGCATCAAAATCAAATAGAACTGATCTGCTCCATCCATTATGTTCCATGTTAAGTCTCCATCTTTGCTTTTATCGAAAGAAAGCATGCATGGTTCAAAATGCACTATTAAGAACCATGGTTTACCAATGGAGGTTCAAAACTGTGTTCTTGGAATTACCCTTTTTGCCGCGATCCCTTATATTCCTTTGTTGACTCTCTTTTCTTTTGCTTTTCCATTGTTGAAGTGTTTTTTAGTAGAGAAGTGGTTTACATGGATTTCATGGCAGAAAACCCCACTGAATTGGGTATCCACTTGAATTGGAACCTGTCAACGGTGTAAAACCTGCATTAATCGGATTTTGGACGGGTTTGGTCAAAACTCAAATGTGTATTTATGGGGAACGGGTAGGGTATGGATATTCTAATATCCAATCTAAACCTACCCAGTACTCCAATACTCAGATATCTCATTGGCCCATCGACTTCTCACTTTTCGGATCTTGTTCTCACTTTTAACCCTATCTCGTAACTCACCAACTCCATGCTTTTGAATTCTCATTCCCAATCCTCCTCCAATTCTATTGATTCCTCGTCTTCTCAGAGTCATTGAATCAAACTCCGCTAGCTATTAAGTGAGATCTTCTTCTGAAAGCCAAAGCCTTTTACCGTTGATGGAAAAGTGACAAATAATCTCTCAATTCTTTCATTCTGCTGGCACAGACTCGCATCTATTTTAGTCTTTATGGTAAAAGCAACTACGTCTCAAGACGTTTCAGCCATTCAATGACATCTATAAGTTTGAATTGACGAGAACCTCAATGAAAAAGAAATGTATTAGAGTACTTTAAGTTAATCATATGCACTTTAAGTAAATTCAAATATATGAGTGGAACATTCGAGCATGGTGTGCAGTCAAAGAAGTCAATTTTGTGATAGATCATCTCGTTCACTTAGACTCGTCTTATTTTTATAGGCTTAATGTTATACTTTCTAAACTCGAATTTAATATATGGACTTATGCATGACTTATTGGAAATTATTGTTTTTCAATTCCATTCTTGATTGGTAAAAAAAAGTTTGATGATGTCAAACAATTGTTAAGGGTTAAGACACCTAATAATTAAGAAAAATAATATGTGTGTCGAGTGGAGTTTGTGTCAAATGACTAAATTGCAAATTGTAATGATGGGCGATAATTGATGATGATGGTAATGGAGAGCCTAACTTGCACGATGCTGGATGTGATAGGGCCATGCAAATAGGCAAAAGTAAGGTAAAAGAGAAAGAAAACAGAGTAGAGGCCAGGGTTTTCATCACAAGAAATAGTATCAAAAGAAGAAAGCAGGGTAAAAACTAATAACTAAAAAGAAAGAATCATGGGAAGCTTGAATGTTTTTGGTCAAAACTATAAGAAGTGGTTAGAAAGAGGAAATTAAGGTGAAAGTTCTTTGTTCATAATAGATTAGGTGACCAAATTTGAGTTACATTTATTGTCTAGTTAATAAGTCATGGAGTGGAGTGACCAATATTCATCACAAAGTTTATACCACAACAATCCAACCACTAAATTATACAAGAAGTTGATATCACATTAATCGTGAACCTCAACTCCGTTGCGAGCTAAATATCCTAATTCAGTCACTTTAGTCTTTATCCTACCCAACTACCTCTATTAAAGCTCTAATTAATCCTCCAAGAGGACAATAATGTTATTTTGAGGTTTTTTGTTCAAATTTTGCGTCTCAAACTCTCAATTCAAGTTATTTTTTATAAACCCCCGACATTTTCAATGCGAAATTTGTACTCAAATCCCTTACAAACTCCTCGTTCGAAATCCCACATCCAAACAAACTTTAATTTATTTTGCTTGTGACATGTGAGTTATCTCCAGAAATAATATCAGCCATTTTATATCTTCACCTTACAAGATTAATAGCTGAGAAGGCCAGGCCAGCCATAAGGAAGGACGAAGGTGGTTGAATCATTACACCAAGGCAAGCTAAGCAACTCAAAGGTTTTTGGTTTGCCATCTTTACTCATTAGTCATTATAACTTGAACGTGAAAAAACTTCAACAAATTAAAGACAGATAACAATAAAAGAACCATCTCACTACACGTGGGAAGACGTATTTCGAAAGTCTAGCCATTATTTTTTGCAATTTTGTTTCTAAATCTTTTAATTTCTTCCTTAGTTTTTTTTTTCACACAACCCTATACATGCAGTATGAGTTTTTTTCTTTTTGTCGATTTATCGATAATGAACCGACAATATACTCTAATATGTTAAAAAAAATATCCCGAAATGTTCATCTCCAAAGTATCAGAGGATAACCAATATGTGATTTCTTCCTCAAAATTATTAGTAGGGTGAAAACTCAAATATAACAATTTTGTCACAACAAGTAAGGGATTATCTCTACAAATCTTGTTGTGAACATGAGTAAATATATAAGTTTGCACAAGGTCGAGATATTGGCTCAGTTAAACTGAATCGAGAATCTAAACCGAATAATTGAAACAAATCATTCCCTTGAAAAATCAAACCACTATGAAGCTTGATGGTTTTAGTTAACCGAAACCATTATGACCTCTTCTGACTCGTTTTGGTTTCAGGAAACCCAAAACCCAATGGATTGTGTATTGTTCTTCACTTCCTTTGTTTCACTAAATCTTTTTCGATTTCTACATTGGCTTCTCGTTTCTTTGGGATGTTCTATTTCTTTTTATACCAATGATCAGATCGTCATTGCAATCTATCCGGTTCGGTAAGGTCCAAAGGTCAATTCAGTTAATTTCTCTTCAATATTTGTAACATTCATGAGAACAATGACCGAACCGCATCATATTCAATTCGATATTATCCGATATGAACCAAACCGTTGTACATCCCTAGGCTAACAATGGGAACGAGCATACATGAATCCGCATCCAACAGAGCAACTAACCAAAGTACAATGTTCTCGTGGCTTACTACAACTACAAAGAAACAAAAGAAATGCACATGAGCAATTCTACTATACTATAAAAAAATTTGTGCTTTAATGTACAACTTAAAGTTGTACCATAATGTTGAATGTAAAAGTTCAGATTGTACAATAAAGGAATTTGTACCCTTATGTTATAGTACAAGTTCAAATTGTGAAGTTGTACTCTCACATAAATTTACAAGTTCAAGTTGTACCATAAAAAAAATTTGTACAAACAGTATAGGTACAATATGAAGTTGTACCATAACGTTAAATATACAATTTCAATTTATACCATAAAGACAAAAATCCATAACACCAATACTATATAGCATTGTAAAATTCCTCAATCCACATATAAAAAAACAAAACCCTTCACTTAGATTTGTTCATTTTTCTTTTAATGACTTAAATTTGTTCATGTGACTCATGGTCCCAATTTTCCCATGCTCTGCCTCACCAATTGCCCACACACTTTGGCATTTTCCTCCAACATAATTGCTAAAACAGGGTACAGCAATGAGCAAACTCTCAGGATCTGGCTATGGGACCGAGACAAAACCCACCCTTTGCTCTTCACAGCCGCTCATTTGTAGATTCAAAACCTCTACTGCATTAGCACATTTGTTGGAGAAATAACTATACATAAACTAGACATGGTTCGTTGATCATTTGAAGATATTAAAAAGAGAAATTTTACAATGGTATATAGTATTGGTGCTATAGAGTTTTGCTTTTATGGTACAACTTAAAATTGTACATTTACGTTATGGTACAACTTCAAGTAAAGTTGTACCATCACATAAAGGTACAAATTGATTTACGGTACAACCTAAACTTATACATTTAATGTTATGGTACAACTTTAAGTTTTGTACAAATTCTTTTTATGATACACTTGAACTTGTACCTTTATGTGATGGTACAACTTCAAGTAAAGTTGTACCATCACATAAAGGTACAAATTGATTTACGGTACAACCTAAACTTATACATTTAATGTTATGGTACAACTTTAAGTTGTACATTAAAGCACCAATACTATAAAGCATAGTAGAAGTGCTCACTCAAAAAATGTAGAGATGACGAAATAAGGACGTTTTCATTACTATACATATAGATTTACAAGATAAGCCGAAGGTATAGGCATATAAGCAATGCCCTCTTGTTTTCCTGAGAAAACAATGAGCAACAACATAAAGAAGTACATAATACTTACATAAGTACTTCACAAATGTATCTTACAAACACGAAAGCACGCATTGAGCAGTGATTGCATGCACATCGTAGATAATGCTTTGATCTTAGGCAGTGGGGTAAGAAGCTTGCATAGCAATGCCACAAATACCTTCCTTGGCAGAGACATCTTTTTGCATTCGGATGTATCCTTCCTCTCCCCATTGAGCTCCCCATGAGTTCTTGATCAGCCAGTACTTCATCCCGCCGCTCTCACCATATCCAACAGCCGTCACACCATGGTCCAATTCGGTCCCACATTCCCCGGTAAAGATCCCGCTCTCGTAAAGCTGGAACGAGGAGTCCCCTGCATCGATTGCCACTGAAATCGGCTGGCTGGCTACTGCCTTCATCAACGAGGCTTCGTCGTTGGCAGGCACGTCTTCATATCCTTTGATCGTAGCAGCGTGGTTTCCTTCTTTGCTAGCGCTGCACGATCCATCCGCAGCGGTGTAGGGGTAATTAGTCTCGGTGGTCAAACCCTTGTTCTGGATAATGAATTTGAAAGCGTCGTCCATCAACCCGCCGCCGCACCCTTGGTCCTCTCCTTTGGTGTCGCAATCAACCAGCTCCTGCTCCGAAAGGGACACCAGCTTGCCCGTACTGAGCTGAGTGATTCCTTCCATCGCTCCCACAGCCGAAAACGCCCAACAGCTTCCGCACTGCCCTTGGTCTTTGATTGGAGTGACGGCTCCTTTTTTCCTCCAGTCCATGGTGGTCGGCACCTCGCTCACATTTTCGTACCGAAATGTTCCTTGCTGCGGGGAACACATGTGACCCTTGAACCTGCACCTGGTCGTTCTGAACTCCTCGTTCGTCAAATCCGCAAACTGGTTGGTTCCTAGCCTGTAAGGCTTGTCTCCAGCAGCATTGAACGAGTCGACTAGAGCCGCATTGTCTTTGAATATCTGGTATCGTATCTCCTTCTCGTGCGAACTCCCGTAAACTCGTCCGTAACGAGTCATCCACTGCTCGTGCCTAAGGCGCATGGAAGCCTCGTCAGGGGTATCTCGCGCCATGGCTCGAGAAGCCAAAGCTCCGAGAATAAAGATGGAGGCCAATAGGAACAACTTGCTACTCGGGACTGCCATTTTCGAGGATACGAATTTTTGTGGGCTTCAATTGAGATGTATGATGAAATAGAAGAGAAAAGGTTGGTGATTTCTCCTGGTGGACATGCTCTGCCTTTATATATACAGCAGCCGACCCAGAGGCAGAGGCAGAGGCAGGGGAATCAATCAACATTGTGAGCTGATTGCATTCAGACTCTGGAAGTTGAAGGTTGATCCGTAATTTCTGAATTCTCAATGTCTTTGTATCAACGTGACTTACAAAACCTTCTGATTTGGACCCATTTCCCTAGTAATCACGAATAGATTAGTGTTCAAATCATCGGAAGAAAACTAACGTATTTTAACTTGCATTTCGTTTTTCTACGGCCGACCCTTGTCCCGGTGCGTTGTGAAAAGAACGAACAACCATTCCTGCCTGCCCAGTCCAAGTATTCAACTTTGTAATGAATATTATCAAGTGGGTTTCAATTCCTTCAACCATAATTTATTGTATAAAAAAATTCTGCAAGCATATGAGATTGGAGTAAGGGGCAAATACAGAATAATGGGTTCCGTTAAAGGAGTTGACTTCTCTATTGGCTGGTTTGTCTCCTTCTTCGATCCATCCCTGAGATCACTGAGCTTAACCAAAATAGGAAGAAAGAGAAAAAGGGATAACAATGGCGACAAGCACAAAGCTGTTCACTCTCTGTTCTGGGTTAATGGGTGCACTCTTTGCTTACTCTGCCTCTGTCCAGTTAAACGACCCTGGTAATTCTTGACCCCTTTTACCCTTTCCGGTAACTTTTCCCGCCTTTTATTCTTGTAATTGTTTTGTCTTTTTTTTCTGGTTTGTAGATTGGTACTTTTGGTTCCCTCTGTACACTGGTGCCTGTGCTGTAAATCTGATGAACGTGGCAGCAGCTACCTCCAATCCTGTTTCCAGAAGGATTGCAGAAGTGACTTTGTGGGCTGCCCTATTCCTGTTCTGCAAAGTTGTGGTGGAGGATCTTGCCACTGGAACTGCTGGTTTATGGTCTTTGGATCTGAGGGAGAGAGTTGTGAGAGAGAAAATTGGGAGTGGGATGGTTTTTGTCTCCATGGTTTTGCATTTTAAGGCATTTCCACTGCCTGAGGCCGAAGGAAAGAAGAAGGGGAAGGAACATGGAATTCCAAGACATGTTGAATATGGTAACTAATACATCCTGCGAAAAATAGATGTCTTTTTTGCTGATATGAAGTTGTTTGATCTTTTGGGAACTTGTTTCTGTTTTGCAGGAATGTTGGGGTTGGTGGTTTTCAGCTTTGGACTCCCTTCTGTTTTCTTCAGAGTTATGGGTGGTGGAGAAATGAAGTTCGAGTGATAGTGAAGTATGAATGGATCATCATGTCGTTCCATCGATCGACCATGTCACAATGGTTGATATTCAGGCTCCTCCGTTCTGGGACTTGTAGTATAGTTTACCTTGTGATAGAATCAAGGAAACAACCCTTACACAGAGGGGATTGTACTGAAAGGAGTCATTTTATGCAATGCAATATCAGAATTCCTGCACAAAAGAATGCCTGCCCTGCCCAAAACAAGATAGCCGCTAGAAACCCCTTCAATAAATAACCCTAATAAGCAATCATTAGTATCTTAACACCTACCTACAGCGACAAGCCTACAACAAGTAGAAACAGTTCAAAGGGGGGGAAAGCACAATGCAAGAAGTCGTTGCTATTCATTTCCATAAAACATTCTGCATGAACTAAAAAAAAAGGAGAATATCATACAATGGAGCTCAGAGGTTTTAGCCAACAAAATCGATGCCATGATGAGCTAGGTCGACAACCCAACAACAGGTTGATCAATGCTGACTGTCGAGAGCTCAAAACCAGGGCAAAATCCCTCCAAGCTGTAGCAGACATTGTGATGAAGGACAGCACGTGAATTATTTCAGTACAGTCTGCCACGGCACTTGGAAGTGCCACAATGGCATGGATGTCCTTCTCCAGATAGTATCTCGTACCTGTAGTTACGTGTCAGTTCTTCGCCATAAGCTATCTGTGCAAGGACATGAAACCAGAAACGAGGTTAGCATCATACTAAAGAAAGCGTCATGGTGAAGAATTCATAGGAGAAATGACCAAACTACTTACATCTCGACTTGCATAGAGACCAATATGAGAACGCTGAGAATCCATGCTGTCAATAAGAACTTGATGGTTTACAAGATTCGGTGCACAACTGCCAAAGGAGACGATACAAATGAGTATAAGACTGAAACTAAAAGAGGCTCAGAAAATCTTTTGCATCGATTCACAATTTTTCCTTTCAGGAACATAAGCATTGGATCTTCCCACAGTGTGCTGGTTACAATCTTCCAAAACCCTTTGTTTGGTTGAGCAAATACACGAGGGATGTAGAATTCGTGGGCCCCATGAATTTGACAAACCCACATAATATATGAGTTTCTGAAATCTATACTAACAATGTTTACTGTCCTCCACTTTTCAACATACACAAATATCACAATCCATTACATTTCCAGTCCAAGGATTTCACACAATCCATTGATGTTCAGATCCGACATCAAACGACCCCTAGTTTCTCAAAAGAAAAGAATTTATGCTAGTAGGAAGGAACTTAGCAAACAAACTTGTGTACCTGTGGTTTATGAACCGTGACACATTCCCATATTTTGTGGAATCAATCACAAACGGAACTTCTCCTTCGATCATTCTGCTCATGTCATTGGTCTGAGCATCAATAGTATAAATATGGCTGCAACCCTCTTTTCCATACCTGAACACCCAAACATACAAGGTTTACATAAGGCACCATATTTATAATAATAAAAAAGTGGGAAAAAACCTGAATCGTTCTTAAGAACCTGATGCGCCTATTTTTTGCTTCATCTTCATCTATAACTTCACCGATGTATTCACAAACAAATGTGCCACGTAGGATAGGTTCGCCAGCCCTTACTGCCCAACCCTATTTTTGCAAGCGGTAAAAGATGCAGTCAGTTGTACAAGGTTATATAACACTGCAGAAATTTATTGAAGTTAATACCTTATTTTCTGTTTTGAAGACTTCCAACCTCACCCGTACTCCGTTCTGAAGTACTCGGTTCGGGCATGATTTATTGCAACTACACAAGCTATTACACTCATAAACAAGGTAACCCTCCTGCAGAATTTGAGCAAGAGATATCATCACAAGGAAAGATAAACTCATAAGAGGACAGAAGATTGAGAAACTTAATAACTCCCTTTTCTAATGAAGTACCTCCAAGATTATCCTTCCTTTATCATCATATGGGAATCTCCCGTTCATTGGTGCTCCATATATGTCTCTTGCATCATCGTAATCGTCATCAAAGAGGTAAACATGACCACATGTTTCAGGACTGCACATCGAAGATGGACAGGTGCATCCCAGCTGAAAACTCTGTACAGTAGAAGGAAGTAAGTTATCAGCATCCAACTCAAATAGATTTGTGAGAAAGCATAAGTAACTACCTCGAATTCAGGATGACAGGATTCGTGAAATAATGCAGTTGTAAGGTAGGTGAAAGATTCCCAGGGCTTCAGGACACCAGCATTTTGAACATCAGTTGAATCATGGATGAAGTTGAATATATCTTCATCCACTACACAAGCTACCGGTATGGACTCCTTTCCAAGGCTTATATCCTTACAAAGGACGACTTCCTTTCTATTAGGCCCTTCCCTAACATCATCCAAATCAATAACATAATGGAATTCATCCACCACCAACTCACTATGATCGAAACAATGATTTGACACTCTCCATTTGGAAAAACCATTTTCAACCGGCACTAAAGGTGATAACAGGTTAGGGTCCTTAAAACTTTTACATCCTCTTGGGCAAATGAACCCCTCATGGTGCCATTCCACCGGAACACTATGCTCGCTGCACAGCTTGGCAGCCTTGAGATAAAACCGTTCTGGCAAAATCCCATATTTACCCTCGAGGGAGGCTTTTAGGCTCACCCTGCAGCATGCAGCCCGTGCAGTAGCCAAGATCTCCAGGTTATTTGGCCGAGGCTTGGTCTTCTGAATCTCGGAAAACAGAATCTTGGCAACTGCTGAGCACTGAAACTCTGCCAACTTTCCAAGAGCTGTTGACTCAGTTACATGAGGTAGAACATTTAACTCCATGGTACTTAATGACTTTGTAGCTTGAATACGTTTCTTCATAGTAGCATTCGCCCTATTCCTGATCCTATCAGCAGCTGTTGCCATACCTTTCTTGAACCTAGGACGAGTAAGCCTTCCAGATTTTAATCGATAAGAGTAGTACCGAATCCCCTTCTTTTGAGGCCGAGAGCTAAACATATTCGGTCCCATATGAGCAGCCTGATGATGGCGACCGAGATCAGGAAGTAGATCAAACTTCAACCCACAGAATCTGCAGATAAATTTTCTTACACCACTTGGATTATCGTTAGAGATATCTTCCACAGGAGCTCCATTATCTTGCTCAATTGCTCGACTGATGGCCTCTTTAGGATCAGATTTCGCCACTCTAAAGTCAACTGGGTGAGCCGAGAGGACATGTGACCATAACTGTTCAGCATTCCCAAAATGACTCTTACAAGGGATGCACAGAAGAAGCATGCATTGTTCAACAAACTGCACATGATGTCTGTCCTGCACATGTGTCTCTAACCCTTTCTTGTTAGTGAAAGAATCAAGGCAGATAGCACAAGCATGCCCTCGGAATAGCCATTGTGCTTCCTTTTTATGATTATCCATCCAATGACTGCCAAGCTCTTGTTCATTAGTAAACTTGTCCAAGCAAATTTTGCACCTAATGGACTGTTCATCATCATCATCGAGAGGCATTGGTAAAACTGCCAATTCTTTAATGGAAGAGGATGAGACATGAGTATCTTCTTCACCAGCACCAAGTCCCCAGATTCTTCCCAGTCTCTCCTTTTCAGTGCGGACTAACTTCAACAAATACTCCCCAACTAGGAAATCCTTTGAAGCTTCAGTCAGGGCCCACTGAAGCTGTACTTCCATGGGAACAGGATTTCTTACCGACAAAATGCTCTTGAAGAGCTTGTAGAAAAGCTCGCACGCTGTATGTAAATGCAACTTTTGCTCCATTGAACGACAACTTTTCAAGAGATCTACAAAAACCTCTTTTGATACTATTCTACTCCTGCCGTTCCTTGCACGCTTAAGCCAACTTGGGATATGATCATCACAGTATAAAGAATACCTCTTTGGAGTTTCATGGCAATGAACGTTCTTATCCATAGGGTTTGAACCTACGCAATGTAGCACCTCTTTACCTAATGAACTCTGTCTTGCGTCGCACTGTATGAATGAGACAGGCTGCACTTCAAGGGGAGTTTCAGCTTCTTTAAATAAGACCATATCTCTACAGTGTGGTGTTTCTGAAGTGGAGAAAGATGCTTCTACGTGCTTTCTTTTGAGTGAAGTCTGAGGTGAATTAGGTATGATTGTAGGAGTACCGGTCTTGGGACCATGTTTCTTACAGAAAGAAGAACCAGGAAGAGACCGGTGCTTGCATCGACTGCCAAGCACGGTGGTTCCTTCACACATTACGTTATGAACAGGGGGGCTTGCCTCTGCCTTTTTCGAGCTACCTGTGAATCGAGAGGCCAAATGAACACAGCAATAGACATCACCGTCATTTGCCCACCTCACACATTGCCGACCTTTAGACTCTATGAAAGCTGTGCACTGCCTGTTCCTACTAGTACCAGGATCCGTGATGCTCCTAATTGTGATGTCTTTAGAAGGAGTCTTGCTGAGCAAAGAACTTCCAGATTCAACTACAATTCCATCCCATCTATCTGGCACACTACGAGGAGTTGACTCTACAGGTGTATTAGCTCCTTTTTGAATATCTTCATCTTTGGAAATCCCTGTTAACAAAGGAACAGTGGAGTTTGTATTTTCTCGATTGCTGAAAAACTCAGAATCAATATCCAATGTCATAGTTTGAGGTGGGTTGCTTGGTTCAGCTTGTGGAGCATGTGGTTCTGCTCGGCGAACTACAAGCTTGGGCCTCTTCTGACTAACTTGAAGTCCCATTGTGGAAGGACTATCAGAATGTCTCTGTTCAGTTTCTCCTCCACTGGGTGAGGGATTAGATGTTGAAAACCATTTCATAACTTCATGCTTCCAGGTTTTCCATTCAGAACCTAATGTTGGTTGCACTGGTGCATCCCAAAGAGAGTTGACTTTGTTCCACAGAATGGAATCATACAGTTCCTGCATTGATTCAGAAAGTGGAAAAGAAATTAAGAGAAATTTATCAAATCATAACTCAAACATATACACTTCTAAGCATTTGTACTTAAAATTGGTTGACTTAGAAGAACGAGAAATATAAGATTTCAAATTTTTCATCATTTAAATTAGGTCATCCTCTACTTCATTCATCCACTAGGGCTTAACATTCCAGCAAGAATAAGTAAATATAACCGGGAGGTCTACAGCTTGAGTCTGATTGCGAGGAGGTAGAGCCACGAAAGGTGAGCTGCTTCCGCTAAATGGAAGGAAAGGAAATACCCTACCTCTCTTAACAACTCAACTGATTCAGCACTACATGCATCCTGACACTGTTGCACCCATGTTTGAAAAGAACTGCCCAGCCAATCACCTTTCATATACTTCTGCAGAATCATCTATAAAGAAAACAAAAGGTAATAAATCACAGAGACACTAATACTCCTCAAAGTTAACGTCAATAGATGAACGAATGTTCAAGGAAATAATTTGATTTCCCTTCATTTAGATGCATATGTAGTGCAGTATAGAACTAACAATTATTGAAGGAGAGAACAAGAAATGAAACCTTCAGCAGGTAACTGGTAAAAATTATAGCTTTCGTGCAAATGATTACATAAAATTAGTAAGAATGTCCTCCTAGATCTCAATAAGAACATTGTCTAAGCAAATGTGATTCTTTCAAACAAGAAAATAGGTGTGGAGGGAAAACAAATCCAATCTTCAGTAGAAAACAGCCTGATCAAATATCTTAACAACCAAACCCGCCGTTTCAACCTCTAACTTCAATCTTTAGAATCTAATTAATGTTTAAATTCATATGAACCATTGAACTTTATCTTTTCTACCTCTCAAATTCTACACTTTCCTCTTCTATAAACCTTCAAAAGTCGTGCGGTCCATTTAGTTATTTCACACAACCCGATATTTTAGTATATTCATACCCTAAAGAAGCAAACAAGTTGTGGAATCTCCTATTTATTTCCCGACCATTCACTAATTTTAATAGTTTTTTACACACACTTATTTCATTTGCTTCTATTGATAACTTCTCCAATGGACCTCCAATCGGTTTAATCAAACAGGTAGTTTATAATCAACAAAGTATAAAAAGTAACAGGGGTTTACATTTTGAAGCTTCAGAAGCATTCTTCCAAGATCCGAATAACCACTGCAGCGTGATGCTTCCATAGCAAACTCTTTCCACACCAGCACAGACCTAGCAGGTTCTACCAGAGCCTGTTACAAGTTTGCGGAAAACAAGATAAAACATCCAAAATACAAGTAGCACGGAAAATAATTTCTAATGATTACTGGAAAGCAATTACCTCATTGTGAAATTGGTCAACAATATTCAGCATTCCAACGGCCAGTTTTTGCATTATGAACCGCCGTGCAATGCCCAAATCTTTAACTAATTTAAGTCCAATTTTGTGAGTCCTATATGCAATGGGCTCCGGATTTTCATTGATGGACCGAACAAGTACCATATCTGCCCATGAATAGTTTCTAGTGTTGGGGAAAAACACAACAAAGTATTGCTTCCGATCATGAGTTGGTTTTGCTCTCAAAGTTGACAGTGGCCAGTCCGCCCTTGCACATCTGATTCCCGCCTGCCACTTCCCTCTCCACTATAGTTGGGAAAAGGAATGCCGACTATCAATACGAAATTCATACCTAAATTGGCAGACTACTTGCCTGTTTATGTATAATTATAGTTTTGGACAAATAACACATGACACAGTGCCAAGATGAGTGCTGATACCTTGACCCATAGTGCTGAAGATTCATCGTCTTTTAACCACTTAGGTTCAGACAGAGACGGCTCTCCCTCCCTATAGTTGATCGGTTCATGCTGCACATTCAAGTCATCATCATCATCAAAATCTTGAGATTCGCTTTGAATTTCTGCCTGATGATCAGAAGCTCCAGTTTGTCTATCGACTTGATGCCCTCCAACTTTTTGCAATGATTCACCCACTGTACTACCACTGGCATTTTCTATTTGTCTTCCTTGTTCAGAAGTTTTAAATACACCATCATGATGATCAACTGTTTCTGAATTCTGTTGAACACCAGCCGACTGAGGAAGAACTTCCATTATTTACACTACAACCCTCAAAATATCACTTAACTTGTACAAGAGGCCCGCAAATATGATTTTCCTGTTGAAATAAAATGAATCAATCAAAATTCCGAAAGAATTAATCAAGCGTCAAAGGAGCCAAGGCCAATATATGACATGCTTGACCTAGAGCAGGAAAAAGCTTCTTCAATGATCTGTTAGCAAATCAGCAAACCAAAGTTTTGCCTAAAGTAGCCAAAATAAGATGCTGGGAACTAAATGCTCTAGAATAGTTAACTGGCAGATGAAAGTTATAGTCTAGCGGCAAATGAATAAAAACAATGCATATGCAGCAATAACATGATTAATCTAACTTGATGATGCAGCAACTTGGATTTCTGAATTTACTCATCTAACTTGATTGTATTCTAGCAGTAAATCGCAATATAAATCATTTTACTTGAATACCAACTTAGCTCATCAGTTTTTATTCATATTCTATTCTGAGAACATGCATGCATTCACTCATTCATGCATGCATACAGAGGGAGAGAAAGATACAGCTCGGAGTTTTGAAGTGTGTCCATTTCTATGTAATGCAATTTATGGACTTCCCATGGAACTATAATCAAGAACTTAAAATGTTGCGTCAGATTTAGAAACTAGTAACAACAGTAATAAAAACTTTAGGCAAATTGCTCAGGTAACAACGAAGAACAGGTGTGATTTTCGTTTTCACATTCTGGACAAAAGCTCCACATGAATCAAAGAAACACTGAATCTACAACCATGCTCACATACGTTATGAAAGACGGAAATGTTACTTCTTGGCAGGTTCTTTACAGTTAAGTTTGCAGTTCATCATTTTCACATAGGGTAATGAATTCAGCAAATCCCTGTATGATTCAATCTATTCTAATTAAGGAACAGAAGGTAAAGGAAAGTAAATTAACTGCTAGTTAATAGGATAGAGACATCAAGTAAAGGCAAAACACAAACAGAAAATCACTAGCCCGCATGTACTAAAGTGTAACCAGCCAGCAGTCTGTTACAAACAAATTGTATACAGTTACATAAACGCAACACGGAACTTCTGCTAATGTAATAACTTAGGAACCCTAGATATATACTATTGACTGCACAAGTTTTATGTAAATGATTTCACATCCGGAAACCAGAACGAGCAACGGCACAACTTAGAACAGGAAACGCAACACAAATCTAACCGCATGCAGGCAAAATAGCGTTAACAAAAACAAAGATCCTCACCACCCGCCTGAAAAGCCTGCGACTTTTGCATACTGACCAAAAGGAATCAGCTAACAGAATCAGCCAAAGGATCTAATCCACTAAACCCATTCTTGAAATTGGCAGCAGAACCCTATTAGAGAAAAAGAACCACATTGTGACTATTTGTTTAAGAACCCTAAGGCCAAAAACGGACGCACTAAATCGTTTTCTAAAAAAAAATCACATGTAATGGATTCACACAATATGCAAAACCCAGTAACCAGCACTCGATCGAAACTTGAAATAGACCTCCCTATCCAGTGAGGTGGGACCGATGCCCAAAAAGTTACAAACAAAAAACGAAAAGAACAGAGAACAACAGCTCCATGATCAAACAACTATGACATCGTACCACCAAACCCCACGAGAAACTCCCAATTGACGAAACCCAATTCTGGGTTTTCCATAATTTGGGACAACATCAATTGGGTTAAATCCCCTTTCCCCCATGTCAATTTGTGTATCGACCTATGAAAGTACAAACCTTTTTAGGTCAGTGGCAGCAAAATAGCAGCAGCTGCTGCTACTGCTACCATACCAGCCCACCCCCAGGTAGCTAGGTCACAAAGATCAGAAAGAATAAAAGAGAGCGCGAAAACAACAACAAAAAATGTGACATGCACATAAGTTATTATCGGTAGCCATAGGAGACCGACCCAAAAAGGAAGAGGAACTTTGAAACTGTGGGGGTGAATAGTAATACACCACCACCAACAACAACAACAAGAGCCAAAAGGACGAAAAGGAATGACTCAGAACAACAGAGAGTCTAGTAATGTGTACCTTTTAGAAGGAAAAGGAAGATGGGGCAATGGCAATTTTTACATCAAGATGTCGACTTTAGCCATTGTTGTTATACCAATGGTTAGAGAAAAAGGTCAGGCCAAAACGAACGAGGCCAGAAGGGTAAAGGGAGAAGAGGGGTGGGCGAATGAGTTGTGTGATGCAGTTGTTGCGATAATCCAAATTTCGTGAATTTCTCTGTTACCCTTCTTTTCTTTTCCCCTTTTGGTTTTTTTCTATTCCATCCCCTTATTATTTTTCCTTTTTCTTTTTTTGGGTTTTTTGGGTCCTGGTTTTCTCCTTTTATGCCATGGAAATTGAATTGTTAAAAAGGATACTCCTTTCTCGTTTCCTTGACCAAAATTTCGGTCAAATACGACTGATAACCGATTGAAGAGTGGCCAAGTGGGAGATTCATACGTGTATTGTTAGTCGTAGAGTTGTTTCCCCGACTCCCTACGAACAGACCCAGATGGGAAAACCCCGAAAAACAAACAGAACCTTCGATCATTAAGAAAATAAACAGAGACCCCTTTTCCTCTAATGGGGTTCGGAGAAGCTAAGGAAGACAGTGAAAACAGCAAAGTAATAATAGTCTATGTACCCTTTCTTTTGCTGGCTGGCTGGTGGCTGCTGCTGCTGCTATTGGTCTTTCCCTCTGTTTCGATGATGATCTTCAATTTCGGATACGGGTGATGATAGAGATAACCCCTAATCTATTGTCTTTTTATGACCCTTTTGGTCATTGCTTGTACAAAAACCTAACCAATTCGATTCCATAAAGGAAGTCTCTGTTTCTTGTTGTAGATTTGAGATCATGGATGGGTGATTTTGATAGGACAGGGCAGAGCAGGGAGGCAGCTGCTGTGTGTGTGTTTGTGGGGTTTTCGTTTACCTTGGGCTGGTTTTCTTCTACTGCCACTGCTGTTAGCCAATCTCACTGTTTTCCTTTTGCCTAGTCGGCAATGCCCAATTCGTGTATGTTCATATGGGTTGACGGACCACTCAAAAGGGGTGTATGGGTTGGCTCGGTTCAATTTGAATGTACAAAGTATTTTGCTCGATTCAGTTTGCTCTTATTTCAACTTGGTCCGGATAAAAGGAATTCAATGAAACGAGGAAAAATAGTAACACACTTAAATTTTACAAACCAAATGGAATTTGATTGTATCTTTGTCTAGTGTGAATTGACTCTACTTTCTGTTTGACCTTATCGCATTTAATGTTAAATCTAATCTTCGTAAACTGCTAACTGGTCAAGTGATGTTATATGTATGAAAGTGTGACACCTATGTATATCTGAATGTGTATCACTTGACAAGTGGAAATACCGAAAGGATATTGAACAAAATGACCTATGATTTGGAGATATTTAGGCGGCGAAGCTAATATCGTGGCAATTTTATTGGAGTTCTCGAGAACAACTTGATTTGACATAAATTAGGTGGTCATGTAATTTCATGGCAATTAATGGGAGCTATCATGAACTTATTAATTTCATTGGATTCTTGAGACGTTCTAGTTGTCCTTCTCTTTCTTTTTAAGTTTTGTCATTTTTAATCCATTTTATTATACATAATTAGAAAGAAAAATGTCAGTTTGATTTCTTAAACAGTTGCTACACGCAGCGTGTTGTAATTAAATGGATCATTGATGGCCAACAAAAACACAATCTTGATTAGATCTGAGGGAAACCACTATCTGATAACAAGGAAGAATTATTAAAAGCATCCCAATTGAGGCATAGATTGTAAAGGTAAAGGAATATGGCACCCAAACAAAACTAAGTAAATTTTGAGTTCAATTTGCCTATCATACCTTTAGCCAGGATCATCTATGGATCGCTTGTAAACTTGTCCATGACTCGACATCCCCACACAAAGGGCCCAAATCTCGAGCCCAGTCCATAAGGTATTCATAATCCTATCTCTTAAAAACAGTATGGGGCTTTCTTATCCACTTAAAGTTTAAGCCCAACACTCTTGAGTCTTAGTCCATAGCTGGGGCCCAACAAATTAAGTATTTGAGATTGCATCAATCTCATGCAATTTAGGTTGGATGTGTAATTAGGAATGTTGTCAACCCGCGGGTCGACCCACTTTGATACTGGCTTGGTGAGAAAAACGGGTCGCATGCACCCACCGGGTCGACCGCTACAAGGTATCGGATTGGAGGTCAAAATGTGTCATTTTTTTTTCTTTGGTTTGTGAAATGCGCCTATTTTCCTATTTTTCTTTTCGGCTAGCTCAATCTTTGGAATCCTAAGTTGAACATTTGAATATTGATGTTATATAAGTGTGTGTGAGTTTTCACTATATGTTGGATCTAAGTACAACATGTTATTTTGGTGTAATATTATATGTTATAACTCATATGTTAGACGAGATTTGACATCATTTATCATGATAATTACAATATAATGGCTCTTTCCATATTTCCGATTTTTTCAGAAAGTAATTTAACTTTTTTTTTGTATATATGTTCGGAGGTTATGTACTGTAAAACTAATGTAATTTATGCTTCTAATCTCTGTTAGTCTGTCACCTAATGAGAAAGGAAGGGGGGGAAAACAGAGTGTACTTAATTTTAAGACCGTTTGGAATCTTCGTCCACGTGAGAAGAAGATACATATATGTAGTTTAAAGAAGCATCGTTGGGTTTCTAGTTTTTACAAAGGAGAAAGGGATGCCAAAGGAAAAAAAGATGACCAAAACGACAAATTCAAAGATTTTGTAGGCATTGGGAGCAACGAGTTGCGAGACTGGAGGCCAACTTTAATGCATGGCTTCCTTTTCCTCTATCGATTCGTCTCCTTAGGTGTAAAAATGCTGTGTATATTTAGTCCTTTAGCGACCAAGCTTTTGTTTTCTTTCTGGGAGGCGCTTTATTCCGCGAAGAGCTCTCTTTAGAGGAAAAAGCAACGTAAAAAGAGAAATTTCCATGCACGCAGAAGCAAAAAAAATAATTGACATTTCCATTGGAGAAAAGACTCAAAATCAAAAGTCGAACATTGAAGATTGTATTTCTCTCGTAAAACAATTTGTGTAATCTAAAACCAAAGAGACTTGTCGCATTATTTATGTCCAGAGGAGTTGTAGAAAAATGAAAAGTAGTTCATTTGTTTACGAGGGATCTTAAAGAAAATATAATTGATTATCGAATTGTCTCATAGCAATTATCAGCTCAAGATAAGGACCACCGACTTTGTCTCTTAATCTCAACGATTACCTTGATCAGCCAGAAACCTTGTACCGAGGATTTTGCTCGACACAAGGATTTACAATATGCATATTCGTGTTGATCGGTAATATGCGAATCTTGATTCGCCAAATGTGGACCTTTGATCCATCTTATGTGATCTCTAATCTCGAGATCTCCGAATGAGGGTCCACCCGAAGTATATCGCTTTGGACTTGAGCCAAAGCTCTTATACCAGTTGTTGGATTGAGTGCTCCATTAGTATGATATTGTTCTTTTTGGACCAAGCCGCACGGAACTACCTTTGGATATCCCGAAAGGTTTCGTACTAGTGGAGCTTGGTGGACACTTATATACGATGGTCATTTCCCTTGTATATACGGTGTGATACTTGGAGTGTCACATAACAATCATCCCCTCAATACAAGGACCATAAACATCATGTTCTCCGCTCATCGATTTTCTTGATTAGTCAGACACCTTGCATCACAGATTTTACACTTGTATATACGACGTGAGTGTCTCATAATAATTCTCCCCTCAATACAAGGACCACGAAGTTCATGTTCTCCCCTCAGTGATTTATTGATCAGCTAGACTAGACCTTGTATAGTAGATTTTGCTTGACATAAGGATTTACCAAATGCAAATCTCTCGTTGATATGCTAGATGCGAAACTTTATTCACCCGATGTGATCTCAAATCCCGAGGTCTTAGAATAAAGGCCCACCTTGAAGTCCACCACCCTGGATCCAAACCAAACCTCGCATACTAGTTGTTAGATCGGGTGCTCAATTAGTACGATATTGTCTGCGTTATGTCAACCACACACGCATATATCATTGGGTATCCTCGCTAAAAGATTTCATAGACACTAATATACAATGGTCATTTTCATTGTATATACAATGTGATAATTGAATTGTTCCATAACAAACTCACCTTCTAGAATAAAAAACCTTCAAATTCTAAACTAGACACACAAAAAATATTTTATGTCACTTCGCAAACCACTCAGTTTACCGTACGAGGGACATTGTGAAACTCTAAATTTGCGTCGATCGAAGGCATCAACACAAAATTGCTGTCGGGTACCGGACCCTCCAACAACATTTATGGCCGGAGGTGATCGGAAACTTATTGTGAAGTGTGAACTTCAAACTTGTACGTAGCATAGGTAGAAGGAAAGGAACATTTTTTTTTTTGTCATTAGATCACTCTGAAAAAGAGGGAAATACAAAGATCTGTAAACATACAACAGTTGTCTACTCCGAACCAAATAACAAAGTCGAATTCGATAATATTTGAGGCGACAAAAACAGAGCATGAGAAGCCACCAAATGAACCGCTCTGTAACTAATACTACCAACAAACCAAAGAATACAAAGAAGGAGAGGAACATTTGAATGAAGTAAATAGGTTGGGCCCTCTCTCGCCCCTTACCTCACGGCTAAATAACCCACTCCATGGCTTTTGGACCATTTCATGGTACAGGCCCAAGAAGTAAAAGGAAGGAAAAGGATGGATGAGGGGGCTAAACGCACAATGGTCACTCAACTTTGGCATAATGTCAAAACAGTCATTGAATCTTTCTGAATCATTACTAGACAAAATCTCTCGTTATCAAACCAACAATGGGTGGCAACTGGCAACGTTTCTAGTTACCAAGCTAGAAAACTCTTTTATTATCCTATCCAAAGCTGAAAGTAAGTAATTATTCATAAATTGTTATCTTCTTTTCTCCCCAATGCATCCAGTCTCCGTCTCTCCGATAACTAATATATGTCTGAAGAAAATTACAAATGATAATTACGAGATATGGGAAAGAGGGTTTTCGCACGGACTTGCTGAGACTCATTCACACTATTGTTTTGGTCACTCTAGCAGGATTACTACAGGTCATTATTTCGTTGTATACTTCATGAAGTCGACATTCTCAAAACGCTCTCTCGTCACTAACCCACTATTCATTACTCGG